ATCGGGGAGCACTGAAGCGTGAGGTCAGAGGGTGAGGGGGGGCAGCTGTGCAGCTAGAATGCCCCTCCGCCCGTCCCCGCCCCGTCACTCGCTAGGAGACCAGCGGAGCGGAGCGGCACCTGGGTCCTGGCAGGCTCGTCCTGCAGGTTCAAGCCCCAGCCGTGACAAGGGAGATTGAATGGCAGGTGCAAGGTGTTTGAGCATTTCACAAGTTTAGATTTGAAGAATGGTGGAAAGGTGAAATCGTTGTCTGTGGACCTGTCATCTTCAGTTACCTCAAACCCTCCAAAGCTTGGAGAATGGCCCTTTCGTCCCTCTAAACAATAGAAGTCTCTTTCTCTTGATGATTCCTCCACCCCTACCCTCACTTGTGCCCAAGATAGTGACACCGCCTGCCCGCAGGGACGCTTCCTGAGGGCAGCACCAACAGTGCACGCAGCCCACTTGCGCCCCTTTGGTCTGGTTGATCGGCTTGTTAACATGCCTCGTATACCTGTTCCTACTCCTGAGCCCCACCACCGCCCCCAGACCACACCTCAGCTGTCACCGGACAATACTTGTAACTTATTACCACCTTGCTCGGACTTCTTTAAGGGTTCTCCATCACTGGGCGCCTGGGTGGCTCAGATGGTTAAGCATCTACCTTCGGCTCAGGTCATAATCCCAGGGTCCTGGGATCGAGTCCCGCATCAGGCTCCCTGCTTCTCCCTCTGCCTCTCTGTCTCTCATAAATAATAAATAAAAAATAAATAATAATAAATAAAGATTAAAAAAAAGAGTTCTCCATCACTGCCAGTTAAAATGCAAACTCCTTATTCAGTCATTCAAGGCTCCAGAATCTGCCCTTAGCATCCTCCTCAGCAGCTAAAACTCGTCAGACACTCCTTAGAGCAGGTACTGTTACAAGTTCTTCAGTGTAAATTTTTTTTAAGATTTATTCAGGGGCACCTGGGTGGCTCAGTCGTTAAGCGTCTGCCTTCGGCACAGATCAAGATCCCAGGGTCCTGGGATCGAGCCCCACATTGGGCTCCCGGCTCCACGGGGAGCCTGCTTCTCCCTCTCCCACTCCCCCTGCTTGTGTTCCCTCTCTCTCTCTCTCTCTCTGTCAAATAAATAAATAAAATTTAAAAAAAGATTTATTTATTTTAGAGAGAGAGATTGCGAGCGGGGGGGGGGGGCAGAGGGAGAGGCCGAGAGACAATCTCAAGCAGACTCCCCATGGAGTGCGGAGCCCGACTTGGGGTTTGGGTTTCGGGGCTCCATGCAGGGCTCGGTCTCACGATGCTTTGCCCCCCCAGATCATGACCTGAGCCGAAACCAAGAGTGGATCCTCAACCGATGGAGCCACCCAGGCATCCTTACCTACTCTTGTTC